TAATTCACTTGCCTACACACTAAAAGTTTCATGCTCTCAGTTTCCTTTTGCCATTCTATTCTCAGTCGATCAAAAGAAAAAAGCAGAAGATTAGCATTATGGAGTAAATTTCGCGTTTGGCACCAATTTAGACTCCTTTGCAAAACATAATTGCACAGTATTTTTAAATTTTAAGTTTTAAGAAGTTCAATATTAAAATTTTAAGACCAGTGCGAAAATACTACTGTGTACTCATTTCTACCGCAGGAGTCTAACGAGATGCGAAATCTGAAATACATTAGAAAAGTTTTCTATCCGGAGCACTTCGTGGTCAGTATTTGTGTTTTATGATGATTTGTTTTCATCAGGCGTTCCCCGTGTTACGCTAGGCTGACGGTTTAAGCCCCACCTTCCAAAAAAGGACCGTCAACTCGTTCTTATATACCCGGCATGAAAAGTCCTTTCTCAGGGCAGGTCACTCAGATGTTGACAAAAACGAACTTACTTATTTTGACCCAAACATCTAAAGCCAACCAATCAGATTAGGATATTCAAATTTAAAAACACCAATTCAAACCGCAAAAATGATAATTCTTTAAAATCAACCAAGGGGAAATATACAATAGTTATTCAAACCCAAACCAATCAAACAAATATAAACATATCCAAACAACGTGACGCAAAATATGTGTGAAGTAACTAATCTAAACTAGAAGTAATTTTTGTTTTATTCGATTCAATTGGACGAAACCCGAATATACTAAACTTAAATTTATCGAGCTAGCGATTTATTAATTAAAAATTCAAGGGAAATAGAAATGTATTGAATTAAGGCAAACCTAACAGTTTCCTACTGTGACGTCACGTTTCTAGTTCATGTGTGTTAGCATAGCCATTCAATATCAAATCAAATTAATGTTAGCAGTTTTCGGACAGATCTGACCTGGTTCCTTCAGCGTACCCAGTTCCTCGCCGGATGTCCCGCGACGTTCTAGTACGCGAACTCAAACATGATGACTCGCGCGTGGGTAAGTAAGGGGTATAGGCGTCCCCAAGCGTAGTGGAGTGATGAGCTGTAAGTAGCGGTATGTAGCTCACGCCACTCGACTTGGCGAGACGAGTCGTTTCAACAAATGCTATCAATTGTGCAGTAGCAGTGATAATACGACGTAGCCAAATGGTTGTGCTACGAGAAAATGCGCAGCAGCAGTAACGGGTGGGCGTAATTGCCATCTGACCAACAGCCAGCATAAGACGGTAGATGTACTAGCTGCTTGAAACAGTCCGCTCCAGTTTCGACGATATTTGCCGATTCTAGAACTATCCAATACAAGCCGATACAAGCCACCCACGTTGACTGGGCAAAGAGGGCCTGTTAACGCGGAAATCTCACATAATTCGCTCACCAATTTACTACTAACTTATTAGACTTACCTGAATTTCAAATTTCTCAAATTTCACAATATAAATATGCAATATACTCCGCTCGACAAATTCAAAACCTGTGGAAAATTATTTAAATGGATTTAAATCACTAAAATTCACTAAACCTCCCGAACTTGCTTCGAGTTTAGATGTTGCGCAGTAAACTTCAATCTATTGTCTTCAACTTAAATCAGCATTTAATAACTTCTGATAACCTCAAAGCACTCCACTCAAATGATTCGATAGACGCGGAGTAGCTTGGGTTGTGCCTAAAAACTACTGCGTAATTTCTTCCTATTGGCAGATTCGAAAGAATAAACGAAGTCGTACAAGGTGTTAAACAAAATTGCCAAAATCTATTGAATTCTCTACGACGCAATGGCTTTAAATTAAAAAAACGGTATCTTAGCTGCCGTGTTAAAAACTAGGTGGTGTCTACAAAAGGTGGATGTCAAAGATAGCATACAAACTGACAGCTTGCTCTGAAAATTCATGGACATCTACAGCTTTCATGAAACTTATCTTTACTTGTATGGGTAGTGCAAACGAACGGGTAAACATTAATTGAAAAATAATAGGAACAACGGTACAAATACAAACATAGACACATTGAAAGGCAAGCATTCATCAAATGTATGTGAACCATTTTTTGATGAAAACAAAATTCAAGGACAGGGTTGCTTCCATTCGCTTCGCTATTAAAAAATATTCTTGGGAATAATGAAATCATTAGATTTTTTTTTTTGTTCGGTAATTTATTTGAGTAGGCTCAGTCGAATTAATTTTACAGAGCCGAAGGATTCTTTTTCACTATAAAATACTTCGTAAAACTACAGGAAAAAGGTAGAACACAATGAACACTTTTTCTTCCGCTATCCAATAAGCCTCCTCCAACAGAACGGGATGCGCTTTCAGTGGTTATATTGTTTGGCCAACGAAAGGCAGATCTTATAGCAATGGACGCAAAACGTGGCATCACTCACTCATCACTCATCAGAAAACGGTAGCTTTCCAAAGTCGACGACGCATCAACCGAAAGAACTGCTGATGAAGAACAATGAGGAGGACGACACAATGGTTGCTGCTGAGTAAACAGACGATCACGTGACACACATCGAGAGAACACTGAAATCTTCAGATGTAATAAAAATATTGTGTGCTTGTAAGTTACAAGAATAGCTTGTGTATCAGTGTATTTTCAACTTTTGCCTACACAACAGGCAGCAGCAGCTATTCTCTCGGTGTGGATCATGCGATCATATAGGCTATTATCCCGACTGCATTGTTCATTGCCTGTAGCTCGACCAATCGCTGAAGAAATTTAAATTTGATGATGTCTAGAATTGACGTCCAGAACACTGTTTGCTTTGCCTTCTAAAATGGAAGTGCGAAACAATCCTTGGGCGAAATTGTCAATTTTGACAAGCCGCTAGACACAAATGCTTCTAAGATTGAGGCACGTTATCGGGTATCGGAAGAGAAAGTCCTATTCATTAAGTTTAAATCGGAGGAGTCTGCGCTTTATACACTAAGTAACGGCAGGGTTTAAATAATTTCATTTCATTTCATTATGCAGATTGAAAGGTGGTGACGGTATAAAAGTCGTCTATGGAAGGTAACATTCAATACGTGCGAATGTAGTATTTGACACTTGATGTCCAACAGATAGTGTGAAGCGTGTCGTTCGGGTTAAATTCCTTGCTGAGCTGGGCTTGACACACTGTTGTACGCGTTGTATATGGACTTATAAAAGGAGAGGGACCGATATTTAACGGAGGAAACAAATGCATGTGCTTTTTTCCAATATGGAGAGGTAGTGGATTCCTGCCCCAAGCAGAAGGCCTGGAGGCAATAAAGGGAACAACCAACCGGTGGAAACTAACTATTTTAAATTGGCTCACTTCTTTACTAGCCTATTGGTCCCAAGCAAATCGATTAACGTACTCCATTCTAGTCGAAATTCTAGTACTACACTATTTTTGTTTTGAATCGCTATGAAAGTTTGACAGATTAAATGAGAGGTTCGTGGATTTTCTTATGTTTCGAGGGGTGCATCGATTAGCTTGGGACCGAAGAGAGTACCAGAGCTGAGCCAAAAGGTTGAGCACGTTTCTTCGGGACCTTCTAGTCTTAGAGTAACCTCTATCGAACAACCAAAGGAAGGACAAAAGCTAGACTTAGAATAACAACAACATCAACAACAGGATGAAGAACAGAGTGGTGTGGTTGTTGTGGCCCCCACGACGGCCAAATAACGAATCTGAAAACTCGACCTTCTCCAATTTGCATGAAACAATGCCTAATTGTTTGATATGGGCATTGATTCACATTTTTCCAATAAATCGGGTATTTTACACCATATAAAAATTTAAAAATAATGTCCTTAAACTTTAAAAAAAAATTGCTCGGAAAATCAAAAAAAAAATTGCTCTGGTAAAAATTAACAATAAATTAATTAATTTTTTATTTCATGCAAAAATGATAAAAAAAAATTAAACTTATGAAAAATAAAACATTTTTAAATCTTCAAACCAATATACATAAGAAAACTGAACAAAATCGAAGAACCAGAACTATTGGTCAAACTCATAAACTTTTTGTTAGTACGTTTTGACATGTATTTTTTTTTTTTTCAAAAATTTAATCTTTCAAATTTTGTTAAAAAATTCAATCTTTTTATAGATATTTGGTTAAAGGCCTGGTTAAAATTAAGGTATACTAAATTTACTTAGCAAAAGATATGAAGATTCAAAAATCGGTGCCATACGGTAATTTGAATTTAGGGACAAGGTAAGACTTTTTTGAGACAGGCTAAGAATTAACAGTTCCTTTGTGGGCATTGGAGAGTTAAGCCATTGAGACTATGATTAATCTTCAAGTCTCTTTCACGAACAGCTGTAAGGTCTAAAATACGTTGTTTACAATTTTGGATAGCTTAGAGATCAGAAACATGTTCAGAGTGTTTGAAGGACAAATCTTAAGTGCTTTGATTACAAGTCCAAGGACTCAGAAGCTCTAGGATGGGATTACTAGAATTGGTGGGATTGGATGATTAGAGGGAAAAATGTGTATGAAATGCTAAAAAATATTCATAGGCTTGTCAAAAATTCACGCAGTGCTCAATTTTGTCCATACCTGAGACTTATATTGAGCAAACTAGGAAGAACAACTCGGAACAACGATTCAAATTATGTGCAAATTTTTATTACGTATTTAGAGAGGCACCCCAAGTGCAAGCTCTCTGATCTCATATACGTGGAGTACTAGGTCTAAAGTAATAACGTGCAAAATTCATTGTGTCTTCATTAAGGTCAAAACATCTTATGATTGATTCGCAGATCATAGACATTTCCCGCCCAAAATCAAATTTTCAGGCCTCACCAACATTCATGTACACATCTTCAGATGGTTGCATCACACACACACAAACTCACTTCTGAAACACAACAATTGAACAACCCTACATCAGTGTATGTGTGCCATGTCCCAGAATGATGATGATGATGATATTTGTTCTGTGTGAGCTGAAAGATTGATAATCGTAATTATTTTCCCTTTCTCTTTCGGCCCCACCCGTTCCGGTTCCATTGATCCAGGTTGGCAACGTCCCAGTCGCTCGAGACAACGAGATGCACCCGCTACGCCACGGACCAGAACACCGTGCATCGACCGGGAAACGGTCATGCGGATCAATCGTCGTCCGCTGCGACATCGATCTTGTGACAACTTTTGGCCCCCGGCTAGGAGTGCTTCCCCCCTCGACAGGACGGGGCCTTCCGTGGGGGAAACCGAAGGTGGGTCCTTTGCATATGACGGCGTGCGACGCTACGGTAGTCATGAAAGTGTATACTTTGATGAACGGGTTCGCAAGCAGCACAAAATCGATCCACTGCGAACCAAGTTCGACAAGGCCAATGTCGTCCTAGTGGACTGGGGTAGAAAAGGTGACGCAGGGATGGGAACCAGTGATAATGGAGCGTTTGACAACCAAAGTTGGGAAAAAGTTGATGACATTGCTAATAATTCCATTAAACGAGGTGAAAATATTGAAAGTGAAAAGCTTCCCTCACAGCAGAAGGTGACACCAGATGACGCAAAAAAGGAAACGAGGGATGAGGGTGCGGTTTTTGGATACGAGGAAGCAAAACCCAATCCACCATCACCACCTCCGAGGCGGTACTTCTTACCAATAGAACAGCTGCAATCCGGCGTTGGGGTAGAGATTCACCTTCGATGCTACAAAGTTTCTCCCAACCAAGAAGAGCTCCAGGATGATCCAATCCAATCCAAGATTGATAATTACCCCAACAGTCATCAGCAAACGAGACAGCCTTTCCATTCTACACCGGCTGCAGCACCAGCTTCAGATGGTGATAGCATTCTCCATCGGGATGGAATTCAATCGAAACCACCACTCAAAGCCAGAAGCACTCCAACGAAGCGCATCAACCTCAGCAGCAAACCACCCACTCCAGTTCATTTCTCCATCAACCACAATGACACTCATAATTCAGACAATCCGGCCACCCAGCAACGGGATGAGTTCAATATAAATTCAGATACGATTTTGAATTTAAATATTGACACCGGCTCCAATCCAATGCTGATGCCAATGCCACCACAAATCACCGTCACCGGATACCGGGATCAGACGACAAACACCACCACTAATCATTTCGACAAACGTCACCCCGAGCAACAACAGCACCATCAAACAGTGCCACCGAAAACAAACGACCAATTATTAAATGAAATAATAGATGAAAATCATAATTACAATGAAAAACTAATTACAAACAGCGGTCGATCCAATGCGGGATCCCACCCAACAGCTTCATTCTTCGCCGAAATCGACCGCCAATGTCTCTCCGGAGAACTCCCTAACGAGCAACATTCAAAATTAAATGTATCAAATCAGCCAAATCGTAATTGGATTAATTTAAATTCAAATGAAATTTATCCCCTTGCCGGTGGCAGTGGCAGCTTCACTATTCAAGCCCCACTTTGGGATCGGCCGGCAGGCGAATGGAAGGATCCATCGACAGTAGCGACATCTGCTGCACGTATGACACAAACACGTGTCCGTTGCGATTCATTTGCTGCTGCTTCTACCAATGGCGGCGGCACTGTTTCACGCCCACCGGAGGAGACTAATGATGACCACCGGACGGCAACGGCTGGCCATGTCGACACCGGTGCCTCGAACAACAGCAGCTACGACTGCGACGTTCACAATAATTACGATAATAAAAGTGTTAAAAGTAATTATGGGGATCCGATGCGAACAACGGCGAACGACGAGCTGTCAGCGTCATCATCGAAGGACCAACGGCTGCGGCGATCCGAGAGTCACGACTCAGTCCGAAGCTGGCGAGTTGATGAGGTTCTCGAGTTTCCACCCCCACCGCCGTATCTGTGTCTGTGCGAAGAAGGGAAGGTTCCCTCTGGTAGGTGTTCCGCGGAGAGGTCGGCTTTTCTGGAAGTCTTGGATAGCGGAGGTGACTATTTCTGTGTGTCTGTGAGTTTGTGAGTTGTGTGACAAGTGTGGATTGGTGAACAACGTTGGTAGTAGATCAAACACCGGCCAGTAGATTAGGTGCGAGTAGCTAGTGGCTAGATGGATGCAGAAAAAAAAGCTTGACGTTGAAAATTGCAACTGACGGTGAATGTTTGACTGATGGGAACAAAAAAGCTACACTAGCAAACGAAGGGTTAAGTAAACCATTCCTTGAGTAAATACCATTTATTAATGAGTATGCAAACAAAACTTTTGTAAATATGGAAGACTTTAAACAAAAACATGTATGGGAAATGCCGGCTTCAGCAATACCCTTTACGTTTATCTATTATCCTAAGTGATTATAACACTATATCATAGAAAAGTAATTGGTCGAATCTAATTAAAATTGTCGTCCTTTGAATTAATAATTTGGAGATTTTGGAGTTATGTTTAGTAAATATAATTTTGATCCATACGTTCTATTGCCGCGGATACACTTGTATTACAAACTATAAACATAAGCATTATTAGTTTAATAAATTATGAGCACCTACATGGTCACACTTGTTCAGTTTTTGTATAGTTGTTGTATAGTGCTCATAATTATTATACAAATAATACTCATGCTCATAGTATATCATCCAAGTGTATCCGCGGCCTTCACACATCAGCAATGTATTGCAAATTAAATCTCGTCAAATATTATTTACGATTGTTTTTCAAAGTGGAAGGAGGCAAGAGTGCCAAACCCTTATGGGGCAAAAGGGCCGTGCGCCCTTATTTGAGTGAATTCGATTCATGCTTTTCTATTAACATAGCATAGATTATTAAACAACTGTTATTGTTTACTCAATTGAACTATTGAATTTTACAATATTATTCAATACGTAACAAATGAGCTATGTCGGGAAAATATCTAAAAAATCAAATCTCACCGATCTCTAAGATCACACTTGATTTTCGTAAACAAAAATCAACAAGAATCCAACTCCGTATGGTATTACAAGCTGTGATATCGTAGCTACGAACATCAAGTAAACAAAACTCACCAGCTACAATTCTAACCAAACCGTGGTGAATTTGAGTTTCATGATTGTGTAAAGCACGCCTGGACCAGTTAAAAAAATGCTTTTGAAATAAAAGTGATGTGTCATGTTTAAATAAATATGAATTACATATTTAAATAAATTACATAAAGCACATAACTTGATAGCATTGCTAAATCATCCAAAAGTTGAAAAGCATTGACACAGTGCGCCCAAAAAGTTTAAATATCCATTACGCAGCAGTTCAAAAATTGAATTAAATGTGGGTAAAAAACTGAAGAAAATATTTTTTGAATTGTTTTTTAAACTGTAACTTTTTTAAATATAGTGAGAAGCACAGAATTGGGCAAACTTGATGGGATGGATTTTTTAAAACTAATAGTTTATGTAGTCTTTACTATTTGATGCAGTACCAAAATATAAAGATTTGATTAGTTCTACGTAATTCTAATATTACCCTGAGGTTGATCAGATTTACAATTTAATTCTTGACGTCATACAACACACAACACCCAATAGACCAGTTACCAATTTTATTTTGAAACAAAATTCACCTGGCTGAAGTGGGAGTCAAAGCCTAACATCGTGGTACTCACACAAAGTTTACCTGAACTACGGGTAACTCCACTATTCGCATGACCATTACGAATAATTTTATGCCAAAGAATAATTTTATTATATTACTAAAATGAAAGTCTTAAAGCGTCATTTTTGAAGTCGCAGGATCTTGAAATGATTATTAATTCCGGAATTTCTATTTTCCTGGGTCTCAGATCATGAAAATATTGGTAAGTCTGAATTTACTTGGAGCTCTTCACAGCATACTTATTTTCTGGATTCCCCTAAAATAATCTTGATAATATAAAAACTTGTCCAGTAACATTCTAAGAGTTCATAGCATTACTATTTGTAATCTCTTATAAATTACTCTCCAATTCCACAATTCCCTCAAACTGGTTATAATTCCCAAGAATTGGCATAATTTTGTGCCCAAATTCTTAAAATACTCTTAATAATTTCCTTGGTGGAATTTTTCAGAATGACCGTCACACTCTTCTCAGACTTATCCGATAATTACCTTTGAACTGCTTTGTAGATAAGGTCAGAATTATTTTGAAATCCTCTTCAGCATTTCTTAAGTACTTAATTTTTTGCCAAAATGGCCTTGAAAGTCTCCCAGAAATTGCGCATAATTCCGTTAAAATGTCTTAAAATTTTATTTAAATGAATTTCCATAGAAAATTGGACAGAATACCATTGAAATTATTCGCATACTCCTTAAATTTCATCATAACAATTCTCTATGATTTCTCTTCCAGATTTTATTTCCTATATTCACAAAATCTCCATGCAATTATCATCAGAGTTGACAAGACAATTGACACCGTCTTCAATCAGAGGTTGCACGGACTGAATATTCAACACTAGATAAGGGACAACCATACCACACCCAGTAGACCAGTAGGGAAATTTTCAGGTTGCCAAAATTTGCACTTGCTGGAGCGGGAATCGAACCCTCAATTCGTGGGACTCACAATACGCCTGAACGACGGGTGACACCGCACGACCACAAAGCCCACAATGATGGATGGAGCTCTACTCAGAATTATCTTAAAGTTCTTCTTTGATTTCCCAAGGAATTCACCTCACACTTCACTGTGAACTATTTTTAGAATTACCTTAAAATTCCAATAATGTCCAACGTTGATGGCTTTTAATAATTAAAGTAGCAAATTTAAATTTTTTTTTAAACATATGGTTACTCAATTGCAGTGATATTTTTAAAACAACATGTATGTGTATCTGGCAAGACGATTAAAAATATGAAAAATCCAGATAAATCTAGAATACTGGCAACGCTGGACACTGGTAACAGCAGTAGCTTCGTGTCTGCCATCGGTTATTAATAAAGAGGGATAGTAAACCATATTTTCTCAAGCAACGGAATCAACGGAATGTCCTTTGGAGGCGAACCAGCCTAAGGCTGAAAGCCTCCTAAATAAAGCTAAATAATAATAATAATAATCAACGGAATGTGTCGAGTCAACTCTTAGCTGCATTTTTATATGTTGTGAATAGTCTCGCAATATCAAGCATAATAATTTCATAAATCAAATAAAAACTATTGCCTGGCTCCGACTCATCGAAAAAACTTGTCTACCGGCTCTGACTCCGTCAACTGTGAGCTAACATGTTGAAGGATTTATTTTCGATCATTTTTTCGTTTTCAATTATTTATTCATGAAAATTATCATTGGTGTCACTACGGGGGGCGCCTACAGTCTTCCCTAGGATTATTGCAGCCTCCTCTTGAATTGTTACTACAATTACTTACTTCCTTGAAGATCAAAATTGTTCGCTAATTGGCTAATTTTTGTCTGTACCTTGGGTCCATTTGACCCAAGGCCACTTTGAAAGGCTGTAACTTTTTTATTTGTCAATGGATTTTACTGAAAAAATCTGTACCAAAAACATTAATAACATATTTATTGGATGAAATTTATTACAATACTTACGTTGTCTTTACCCTGGGGTTAATTTGACGCCAAATTCAAATTGCAATTCTTCAGAAATATGGATAGTGTGTGACAGAATTTACTCACAAGATGGCGCTAAATCGAAAAGGATCAAGTTGCGCAATCTTATATACGCATTATATAACGCTATCTACAGATCTTGCTCATATGGATGGTTCCCGTCTTCAGCAAAGTTGTTCAGAGGGACAGAACCTATCTTAAGGAACAGAGTTTAGTTCAGAATTCACTAACCAGACATTAATTTTGAATTGTTTTCCCTAACTTAACATCTTGACTAGATAGAAGATTCCCGTCTTGGGCAAAATTGTTCAGATGGACAAGAACTATATTATGGTAAACGGTTCAGCTCAGAACTAACTCACCAGGTGGCGCTATGCTAGTGTGACATTAATTTTTCATTGTTTGCCCTCACTTTACATATGGACTAGATAGAAGGTTTCCGTCTAGGGTAAAGTTGTTCAAATGGACAAGATCTATTCTAAGGTAAAGTGTTTGGTTCAGAATTCACTCACCAGGATGCGCTAGTGTGATTTTTTTTATTTTGAATTGTTTTCCCTAACTTAACATCTTGACTAGATACAACGTTCCCGTATCGGGCAAAGTTTTTCAGATGGAAAAGACCTATATCATCGTATAGAATTCAGCTAGTGTGACATTAATTTTGAATTGTTTGTCCTAACTTACCTATGGTCTATTTAGAAGGTCCCGTCTTGGGTAGAGTTGTTTAGATGGACATGACCTATGCTTACATAAAATATCAAAGAATGTTTATTCTTTGGTATTTTACCTCTAATGCAAGGTAGGTCACTCCGCACACCAATCTTGGGTCATCTTTTTTGTCAGTGTGCCGCAAGTATGCCAATTGTGCCGGTCATAGAGCAAGCTGCGATTGTTTGTAAAATACCCATCCCAACAATCCGGTATTTCTGACACGTAGAATGTTTTGGTTTGAAATCGCAAGGATAAATTGGAAGTGGCGAGTGTGTAAACTTTCGGTGTTTTGTGATCTATAGGGTAATAAAAGTCCTGTGTTTTAGTGTTTTATAATGCCCTCAAAGGCAGACCAGAAATCTAGCCTTTCGGCCGGAAAGAGTTGGAACCGGTTTTGTTAGAGACCGACTAAAGAGGGTGATGAATAAACTTCTTTAGCTAGTTTTTTGTGATTTGCAGCATTATTTAAACTAAGGGTACTAATGAGGTCCGATTAACTGCTTCTTCCTCTTGAGTCCACTCTAGAACCTACATTTCGTATTTAGATCTTTAAGTGAACTGCTGGTCTGAGTTCCTCTGGTATATTCAATTAGAAGATGTTCCTGAACATACAGTCAATGTTCTGAACAACTTCAATGACAGTTGTCCAGCAGTGCTCCCATTTTATTTACAACAATCTAATGCCTACGATATTGTGCCGAAGG